AGCAAGATGACGCGGATCCTGCAGGACTCGCTGGGCGGCAACTGCCGCACCACCATGTTCATCTGCTGCTCGCCCTCCAGCTACAACGACGCCGAGACCAAGTCCACCCTCATGTTCGGGCAGCGGTACGGGCCGGGGGGCTTCCCGGGACCCCCCGCACCCATTGCACCCCCTGTGCTGCCTGCATGCGCCCCTGCACCCATTGCACCCCCTTGTACCGACTGCACGCACCCCTGCACCCATTGTACCCCCTGTGCCAACTGCATGCACCTCTGCACCCATTGCACCCCCATGCACCCCCTGTACCAACCACATGCACCCCTGCACCCATTGCACCCTCTTGTATCGACTGCATGCACCCCTGCACCCATTGCACCCCCATGCACCCCCTGTACTGACCACATGCACCCCTGCACCCATTGCACCCCCTTGTACCGACTGCATGCACCCATTGCACCCATTGGATCCTCTTGTGCCAACCACATGCACCCCTGCACCCATTGCACCCCCTGCACCCCTTGTACTGGCCACATACACCCCTGCACCCATTGCACCCCCTTGTACTGCCTGCATGCACCCATTGCACCCATTGCACCCCATGCACCCCTTGTACCGACCACATACACCCCGGCACCCATTGCACCCCTTGTACCAACTGCATGCGCCCCATGCACCCCAACTGCACCCCCATGCACCCCTTGTACCAATCACATGCACCCCTGCACCCATTGCACCCCCATGCACCCCCTGTACTGCCTGCATGCACCCCTGCACCCATTGGATCCTCTTGTACCAACCACATGCACCCCTGCACCCATTGCACCCCATGCACCCCTTGTACCAACTGCATGCACCCCTGCACCCGTTTCACCCCTTGTACTGACTGCATGCACCCTGCACCCATTGCACCCTCCTGCACCCTTTGTACCAACTGCACACACCTCTGCACCCATTGCACCCCATGCACCCCAACTGCACCCCCATGCACCCCTTGTACTGACTGCACACATCCCTGCACCCATTGCACCCCCACACGCCCCTTGCACCCCAACTGCACCCCATGCACCCCTTGTGCCCCAGTTACACCCCATGCACCCCAGTTACACCCCATGCACCCCTTGGATTCCCCTGCACCCCCATGCGCTCCATGCACCCATTGCATTCCCATGCGTCCCGCGCACCCTTTGCACCCCCATTAACCCCCCTGCACCCCCCCGGCTCCTGCGACGCCCCCCATGGGGGAGCAGCCGCTGGGGGTCCAGGGCAGTGAGTGGGGGGCTCTGGGGTGGGGGCTGCTGGGGGTGAGGGGGTTCTGGGGGGTCCTGGCTGAGGGTCCCCCCTCCCCAGGGCCAAGACCATCAAGAACACGGCGTCCGTGAACCTGGAGCTGACGGCCGAGCAGTGGAAGAAGAAGTACGAGAAGGAGAAGGAGAAGAACAAGGCGCTCAAGGAGACCATCGCCAAGCTGGAGGCCGAGCTGAGCCGCTGGCGGAGCGGTGAGCGGGGCCCAGGCGTCCGGGGGCAGAAGGGCTGGCATCCCCCCATCCATCCATCCATCCATCCATCCATCCATCCATCCATCCCATCCATCCACCCATCCATCCATCCATCCATCCATCCATCCATCCATCCATCCCATCCATCCACCCATCCATCCATCCATCCCATCCATCTGTCTGTCCATCCATCCATCCATGCATTCATCCCATCCATCCACCTATCCATCTATCCATGCATCCATCCCATCCATCCATCCATCCATCCATCTACCTGTCTGTCCATCCATGCATGCATGCATCCATCCCATCCATCCCTCCATCCCTCCATCCCATCCATCCATCCATCCATCCATCCATCCATCCATCCATCCCATCCATCCATCCATCCATCCCATCCATCCATCCATCCATCCATCCATCCATCCCATCCATCCATCCATCCATCCATCCCATCCATCCATCCATCCATCCATCCATCCATCCCATCTATCCACCCATCCGTCCCATCCATCCATCCATCCATGCATCCACCCATCCACCCACCCGTCCATCCCCCCGTCCTCGGCGGTGGGGAAACGGCGGCTGCCTGTGCAGGGGAGGACGTGCCGGAGACGGAGCAGCTGAGCGGGGCGGAGGCGGAGGCGGAGGCCGAGGCGGAGGCCGAGGCGGAGGCCGGCTCGGGCTCGGCGCCGGCGCCCGCGGGCCAGACGCCCCTCAACGACAACAGCTCCTCCATCGTCATCCACATCTCGGACGAGGAGCGCCGCAAGTACGAGGAGGAGATCCGCAAGCTCTACAAGCAGCTCGATGACAAGGTGCCCCCGCCGCGCGGGAGCCGGCACCCGGCCGGGACCCCCGGGACCCCTGGGACCCCTGGAACCCAACCAGGACACCCAGGGACCCCAGGGACCTGGCTAGGACCCCCGGGGCCCCCAGGGATCCAACCAGGACCCCCGGGAGCCAGCTGGGACCCCTGGGACCCAGCCGGGACCCCCGGGACCCCCAGGACCCAGCCGGGACCCCTGGGACCCCTGGGACCCAACCAGGACCCCTGGGACCCCCGGGACCCAGCCAGGACCCCCGGGGCCCCCAGGGACCCAGCCAGGACCCCCAGGGACCCCTGGGACCCAACTAGGACCCCTGGGACCCAGCCAGGACCTCTGGGACCCAGCCAGGACCCCTGAAACTACATGGACCCCCAGGGTCCCAGGGACCCAACCAGGACCCCCAGGACCCAGCCAGGACCCCCCGGACGCCCAGGACCCAGCCAGGACCCCCATAGACACAACCAGGAATCTCAGGGACCCGTTCAAGACTCCCGTGGGACCTGGATGCAACTGGGACCCCCGGGATCCCCAGGGACCCGTTCAGGACCCTCAGGGACCCTCAGGGACCCACCCAGGATCCCCAGGGACCAACCAAGACCCCCAGGGTCCCCAGGGACCCATCCAGGACCCCCAGGGACCCCGACACTCCCCGGGACCCCAGAAGCCCCCCCAAGACAAGTGGCAGCCCAGGGGCCCCGGGGTCCCCTAGCGCCGGGGCCCCCCAGCACGGCGCCCGCGCCCCGGGGACGCGGGTGGCACCGAGACCCCCGCTCTGCAGGACGACGAGATCAACCAGCAGAGCCAGATCATGGAGAAGCTCAAGCAGCAGATGCTGGAGCAGGAGGAGGTGAGACCCCCCCA